AGCTCATCTCAACTCTTTCAGAGTAACGTATAACACGGGAGCTGTTGTGGGAATATACGAAACCGATCTGGATAAAACCCAGGCTAATTTTACCGCGCTATCACCGATATCTTTTCTACGTCGGGCTGCAGCGATCTATCCAGAGAAAACTGCGGTAATTTATGGGGAGCGTCGACTAAGCTGGCTCGACGTCTGGCAGCGTAGCGTCTGTGTAGCCCGAGCACTGCACGAGCGTGGCGTTCAACAGGGTGACACCGTCGCGATATTGAGTGCAAATCTACCTGAAATGTTTGAAGCGCATTTTGCAGTGCCGATGGCAGGTGCTGTCCTGAATGCAATTAACATGCGCCTGGACGCGAACACTGTGGGTTTTATTCTCTCTCATGGTGAAGCGAAAGTTTTCCTTATCGACAAAGAATTTGGCCTGGTGGCAGAGCAGGCGCTGTTAGACGCAGAAGTGACGCCACAACTTGTTCATATAGCAGACAGCACCTGCGATGAAGGTAAGCTGTTGGGAGAGGATAGCTACGAGACGCTGGTCGAAGAAGGCGTACTGCTGCTTGGTGGGAATGCAGAGGTGCCCGTGGATGCAGCTGAGTTCCTGCCCGACGATGAGTGGCAGGCTATTGCTTTAAACTACACCTCGGGTACAACCGGGAATCCCAAAGGGGTTGTTTATCATCACCGCGGTGCCTATCTCAATGCTGTATCGAACGCGCTGACATGGCACATGGGAGAGCATCCGGTGTACCTCTGGACGTTGCCTATGTTCCACTGTAATGGCTGGTGTTTCCCCTGGACGCTTGCCGTCAACGCGGGCACCAGTGTGTGTATCCGACAGGTGCGTGAGGAACTGGTCTACAGGAGTATCGCCACGCACAAGGTGACTCATTTCTGCGGCGCCCCGGTGGTTTTGAACACGCTGCTGAATGCTGAAAAAAGCTTGCAACAAATGATTCAACACGAGGTCAAAGTGATGACCGCTGGTGCCGCTCCGCCAGCTGCAATCATTGAAGGAATGCAGAATATGGGCATTGATGTCACCCACGTGTACGGCTTAACTGAAACATACGGACCGGTCACCCTTTGCGCCTGGCGTGACGATCTGTGGGGTGGTCTGGAGCCGGCAGAAAAAGCTGTGCTGAAAGCACGTCAGGGCGTTGGCGGACAGATGCTGGAAGGGCTGATGGTTGCTGATCCTGAGACGCTGGTGCCAGTGCCTAAAGACGGTCAGTCAATCGGTGAAATCATGATGCGCGGAAACAATGTCATGAAAGGGTATCTGAAAAATCCAAGCGCCACTGAGGAGTCTTTCAGGGGTGGCTGGTTTCATTCTGGCGATCTCGCGGTGTGGCACGAGGATGGTTACATTCAGATTAAAGACCGGTCCAAAGACATTATTATTTCGGGTGGTGAAAATATTTCCAGTATCGAAATTGAAGATCTGTTGTTCAAACATCCACAGATAATGGAAGCTGCAGTGGTTGCCAAGAGTGATGAAAAATGGGGAGAGACACCCTGTGCCTTTGTTACCCTGCGTGCTGGGGAGACGCTGAGCGATAGCGACGTTATCGAATATTGTCGTTCTCATCTGGCGCGTTTTAAGGTGCCTAAAAACGTTGTGTTCACCGATTTGCCCAAGACCTCAACGGGCAAAGTGCAGAAATTTTCCCTGCGTGAACTGGCGGAGCAACTTTAATGCGCAAACCCCTTATGTTTGGCATTGCGATTGTGGTGTTGTTTGTCAGTGCGTTGCTGCTGCCAGTGGCGGATTGGGCCGCAGCCGCTTTCGCCTGGATAGATGAAAACCGTACGGTATCCTGGGCCGTCTTTATTATCCTGTATATCGCCTCCACCGTATTGCTGCTGCCGGGCAGTTTGCTGACGCTGGGTGCGGGCTTTCTATTCGGACTTGGTTACGGTTTTTTAATCGTTTCATTTTCCAGCGTCGTAGGTGCCAGTCTTGCCTTTCTTATCGGGCGTTTTTTTGCTCGAGACTGGGTGTCCGCGAGGTTAGTTGGCTTGCCGCGCTTTGCAGCCCTGGATGCCGCTATACAGGAGCGAGGCGCTTTAATAGTGCTATTGACACGGCTGTCGCCGGTTTTCCCTTTCAACCTACTTAATTACGCGCTGGGATTAACTGCGGTGAAGTTCTGGACGTTTGTTGTCGTCTCCTGGGTCGGCATGATGCCGGGCACTGTGTTGTACGTATATCTTGGTTCAATCGCATCTGATCTGACCAGTTTGTTGGCGGGTGACTTGGGTGAATCACCGGTAGGTAATTGGCCGCTTTATGTTGGGCTCGTGGCAACACTGATACTTACCATTGTTATTTCACGTATCGCGACCAATGCGTTGAGTAACAAGTTAGATACCGCAGGCGGAGAATCGCAATGAGTTATCCTGGCCACTTGTTTGATGCAAGCACAGCGGCTTTGCTGAGTCCGCCGGATTACGTAAATCCCACGCCGCAGGGGCGTTATCACCTTGTTGTCGTGGGCGCCGGCCCTGCCGGTCTGATATCCGCAATCGGAGCTGCTGGTCTGGGTTCTAAAGTTGCACTGATTGAACGGCACCGTATGGGTGGCGATTGTCTGAATGTGGGCTGTGTGCCCAGTAAGGCGCTGCTGGAATATACCGGCCACCATAACAATCCTGATTTTGATGAAGCGTTTGCCTGGCTGCGTGAGGTACGCGCTGGAATAGCGCCACACGATTCTGTGGCGCGCTATGGCGAAGCCGGCGTTGATGTCTATCTTGGCGATGCAAGTTTTAACAGTGCTGGTGAAATCTGTGTTGGAGATCAACCATTGCCGGCTCGGCGTATCGCCATATGCACCGGTGCGCGGGCCGCGATACCGCCTATTCCCGGGCTTCGCGAAAGTAATCCACTGACCAATGAAAGCGTCTTCGATTTAACGGAAAAGCCAGCGTCTCTTGCCATCCTGGGTGCCGGTGCAATTGGCTGCGAACTTGCCCTTGTATTTGCACGCTTGAACGTTGAAGTACATTTGTTCGAATTAGCGCCCAGGGTATTACCTTTAGAGGTGACAGCTGCCAGTGAGGCGGTAGGAGAGGCGCTGCGAAGCGCTGGGGTGACTCTGCACCTGGGGGCTGGCGTTGAATCTGTAGCCGCTCGCGATGATGGTGCACCCGGGCATAGTGTCAGCGTTAACGGCAAGCAGGTACTCACCTCACATGTTCTGGTGGCGCTCGGCCGAATACCAAACACTGAAACATTGAATCTGCAGTCTGCGGGTATCGATACAACAGAGCGTGGCCTGATCGTGACGGACAAAAAACTTCGAACGTCGAATAAGAAGGTTTATGCTGCTGGCGATTGCACGTCTACGCTGCAGTTCACTCATCATGCAGACGCTCAAGCCCGAGCGATTGTGCAGAATACATTGTTTGCACCAACCGCTTCGGTAGACAAACTTGTTGTACCGCACTGTACTTATACAAAACCTGAGGTGGCATCGGTGGGCCAGAACCCGGACCATCTCGAAGCTGCCGGCGTTGACTACGATTGTTACGAATTCAACTTTGCTGAACTTGATCGTGGGCGAGCAGAAATTAACGGTGACGGCTTTGCGCAGGTTTATACAGAGAAGGGTTCAGATAAAATTCTCGGCGCAACTATTGTCGGGCACGATGCGGGCGAACAGATAGCGCCGATCTGTCTGTTGATGAGCAATCGTTTAGGGCTTAGCGCGGCAGGCAAAGCGTTGTTTTCTTATCCCACGCGATCTGAGTATTTAAAACGACTGGCAGATGCATATAACCGGTCACGATTTACCCCGAGAGTAGCTGCAATATTCAAAGCCTGGTTAGGTTTTACGGCTTAAGCTTTTCCTGCTCAGAGTTTGGGTGCCTGGGGTTCGAAGCCTTGAGCATGGTATTATGACGGTTCAACACCTCGAACGTCAGAGAGCAATCAAATGAAACTGATGCCACCACAATCTAATGTTTCCTCCCGAACCTGCGCTTGTCTTCTGCTTCTAATCGCAAGTCTGGCAGGGTGCAGCGAACCTGCGGAAACAACACCAATAAAATTTTCACCTACCGGTTCAGTGCTGGATTTCATGAACTGGCATCTGGAACCCGTGGCGGATGTGCTCTGGGACTCAGCCGGCTATGTTGTTACTGAAGCGGGCGAAGTCGATTTGCAGCCGACCACCCAGGAGGGTTGGGATAGCGTTCGCAACGCAGCAACCGTGGTTGCAGAATCAGGTAATCTGCTGATGATACCCGGCTACGCGCAAGACAGCGATTGGATGGAGTACGCCAGGGGATTAACTACCGCCGGGCTTAAAGCGCGAGACGCTGCAGAGGCAAAAGACGCAGATGCGCTGTTCCAGGCTGGAGCACAGTTGTACAGCGTATGCCTTGCCTGTCACAACCGGTATATCGTGCAAACCCAGGAAGGCGGGTAGATGCTTTCAACGGAAGTTCAAACCAAACAACTGATCGCGACACTCATGCTGAGTATTGTGGTCGCAGCGCTGGTCCTTGTTTTGTTTGTTTTGCCTGCGGAGTACAACATAGATATTACCGGGGTGGGCGCGAAAATGGGCCTTACTGGTATGGCCGGATACCAGGTCAGTGCACTATCTACAGAAAACGAAGGGTTTGTTTCAGATTATGTGGAGTTTCCGTTAGCGCCGTTTGAGTCTATTGAGTACAAATACACCTTGGGTGAAGGGCAGGCCATGATGTTTGAGTGGCAGGCGGAAGGTGAGGTTGTGTTTGATTTCCATAGTGAAGAAGAGGGCACGCTGCCGGAAGACTCAGTAAGCTTCTCCGTCGGTCGAGATGCGATCCAGCGAGGTACTTACGTTGCACCTTACTCCGGTGTTCACGGATGGTTCTGGGAGAATCGCGGTGACGAGGAAGTGACCGTGAAGTTGAAAACCACAGGCTATTACACGGCTTCAACAACCTATAGTCCCAGTGGTGAGTTCAAACGCGCCTTTAATGGAGACTAGGAGTCAGTGTTTCTAATTTTCGCCTGTACTTTCCATCAGCTTACCCAGGGCAGATCGTAATTGAGCCAATGTGAACGGTTTGCTTAAATAACCCACGTTTGCGCTGTTTGCGGTAAGTTCTGTTGTCAGTTCTTCGCTGTAACCTGATACAAACAGCGCCTTTAAGTCGGGCTGTTTTTTCAAGGCGCTCTGGTAAAGATCGGGGCCGCGCATGTCGGGCATAATGACATCAGATACCACCAGGTCGATGCAGCCTTGGCCCAGTATCGCCAATCCATGTCCTGCGCTTTGCGCTATCTTCACGTCATAACCTATTGCAGACAACATCTGGCTGACAATATCGCGAACGCTTTCTTCGTCTTCCACCAGAAGGATGCGCATACGCTCGCGACTGTTCTGATTTTCGCCATCCGGCTCTATCTTTTTACCGATTTCCTGACGTTGAGAAACACGAGGCACTCTCATTTCGAAGCGCGTACCTTTATCGGAGCTGCTTGTGCACTCCAGAGTACCGTTGTGCTGTTGCACAATGCCGGAGGAAATGGATAAGCCCAGGCCGGTGCCCAATTTACCCTTGGTGCTGTAAAAGGGTTCAAATATCCGGTCGATACAGTCTTCAGAGATGCCGGTGCCTGTATCTATTACAGCCAGACCAACAAGATTGTTGTGGTCTGGTGCCAGTGCCTCAATGGTCAACTTGCCGCCTTCTGGCATGGCATCCATCGCATTTATCATCAGATTAAGGACAACCTGTTCCAGTTGCGTTTGATCCCCTTCAAACCAATAAGGTGTATGGCCCACAATAAAGTGAACTTGAATATCTTCGCGGATAATACCTTTGGTCAACCCTTCGATAGCGCTTAACAGCTTGTGTGTGCTGATTTGTTTGAAATCTAGGTTCTGTTTGCCACCAAAAGCCAGCAGGTTGCGCGTCAGTTTCTGCGCCCGCTCACAGGCATCGCTCATCAGTACAAGCATCCGCTGGCGCAATTCGGGATCTCCTCCATTGATCTGCAGAGTATCCACGGCACCAGAGAGCACCATCAATATATTGTTGAAATCATGCGCTATCCCGCCTGCCAGACGACCGAGAGATTCCATCTTCTGTGCCTGGATCAAGGCGCTTTCAGCGAGATCTTTCTCGTGGCTGAGGAGCGCCATAGTGGCGAAGTCAGACATGGTGGCAACAAAATTGGCTTCGGCATCGTCCCACCGTCTTTTATTGCCGATCTGTTCCACGCAGATCACCCCAACAACTTCACCATCCTGACGTATGGGCGCTTCTAACATTGATTTGATATTGTGCTTGGGTAGATACGCCTCGCGAAATTCAGCGGTACGCACATCAGTTGCTGCATCGTCGGCCCGGATCACGCGCTCCTGCTTCAGCGCTTTGATATAGTTAGGCACCTGCTCAATATTCAATTCTCCATCAGCACTGTGCAATTTTGTCAGAAAGCTGTAGCTGTCAATACAGCGTAACGTGGAACGGCTACTGTCGGTAAACAGCCAGACGTTGGCGCGTGACACTTCGAGTGTGGTTGCCGTTCTTTCTGTGAGTAGAGCAAACGCACTTTTCAGATGTTTTGCTGCTTTGTCGGGCATTTTATTCAGTGCCGCGAGTACCGCCAGATAGTCAGGGTTTGAAGTGTGTTCTGGTAGACGCATTGACATAGATATTGGTTGCTCGATGTCGAGAAAAGGAATGTATCGCTCTCAGTCTAGCTGACATTGAACAAAACACCGGGGCAAAAAGGCTGTTAGAAAAAAGGCGGGTGAATTCGATAAACCCAACCGCCCATTCGCACTTAAGAGCGACTGTTCTACGCTGCGCCAGCACGTTCAATGACGGTGCCTGTGCCCAGCCCGCCGCCACAACACATGGAGATCAGGCCATACCTGCCATTAGTGCGCTGTAGTTCATGAACCGCCTTTGCAATCAGGAAACATCCGGTCGCGCCAAGCGGGTGTCCCAGAGCGATGGCGCCACCATTCGGGTTAACTTTTGCCATATCTGCACCTACAGTTTTGGCCCAGGACAATACAACTGAGGCGAACGCTTCGTTGACTTCGAAAACATCGATATCATTGATGCCCAGTCCTGCTGTGTTCAGCACTTTTTCAGTCGCCGGTATCGGCCCTTCCAACATCAGGACGGGATCACAACCTACCAGGGCGGAGGCGCGTATGACGGCCATCGGTTGCAGCCCAAGTTCTGCCGCTTTGCTGGCGGTCATCATCAGAACCGCCGCGGCACCGTCTGCAATTTGAGACGATGTTCCCGCGGTATGTACGCCATTTTCCCGAGCCACGGGCTTGAGTTCAGCAAGCGCGGCAAGGCTTGTATCACGTGGAACCTCATCTTCCGTCACCGTGATGGTTTCACCGGTTTTTTCGAAATTTGCATCCATCACTGGCGCGCTTACAGGAATGATCTGGCTTTTGAAATAGCCCTTGTCAATTGCCGCTCGTGCTCGCTGTTGGGACAACAGGCCAAATGCGTCTGTGTCCTGTCGATTGATACCGTATTTCTCAGCCACCCGTTCAGAACCCTCAAACTGGCTGGTGAATTCGTGGTGCTCAAAGTAGCTTTTTGAAACGGGTTTACCATTTTTCGGATCCCGACCAACCGCATCACTACCGATAGGCAGACGCGTCATGTTTTCCACACCGCATGCCAGCACAATGTCTGCATGACCCGCAGCCAGGACACTGTGAGCCAGCGTGGTGGACTGCTGTGAAGAACCGCATTGTGAATCAATGGTTATGCAGGGGGTAGTTACTGCGCCACCATGAGCAAGCCAGGCGGTTCTGGTGACATTCATGCCTTGTGCGGCAAGCTTGTTGATACAACCGCCAATGACCTGATCGACTACTGCCGAGTCAACACCATTTCGCTCGAGCAGGCCCATCATGACCTGGCCCAGGACATCCGTAGGGTGGGCGCCGCCAAGGCGTCCATTTTTCTTGCCAACGGGTGATCTGGCGGCATCTACGATGACTATATCTTGCATGATTGATTCTCTCTTTTTGGTTGTACAGTTATTCGGTTGAGCGCACTGGTGATGACCAGTGGGTTAAGCGATCTTGCAGTTCGGGTCGTACCCGTTCTGCAGGCTTTTCAGTAGCAGAGCCCAGGTAAATAAAGCCTGCAACCCGCTCCGTTTCGGTCAAATGCAGTGCGGCATTGATAACAGGGTCGAACGAATACCATTCGGTCAGCCACTGGGCTGCGTAGCCAGCCAGAGACGCTGCGACAAGAATATTCTGGCACGCAGCGCCAACTGAGAGCTGTTGTTCCCACTCGGGTATTTTTACGTGAGGTTTAACATCAGCAATGACGCAGACAACAACGGGCGCCCGCGTGAAACGGTTTCGTTCAGCAACAATGTTCTGTGTTCTCGCTTCGGGGTTCAGGGTTTTGTAACGTTCCGCCAGGATGTTGCCGAATTCTATTCTTGCATCGTCCTGAAAACAGACAAAGCGCCACGGCCCAAGCTTGCCATGATCGGGTACGCGTGCTCCGATATTGAGGATCATCTGCAGATCGTCAGGTTCGGGCCCGGGTTCACAGATATCCATGGCTTTCACAGAGCGTCGCTGTGCAAGGCGACGTAAGGCATCGTCAAGTCTATTTTCCGGGTACACCTAAGGTCCAATCGCTCACAAATAAGAAGTCTCATTGTAACCGGGTGCGCACTGGATGACACTTGTCGACGGGTCTGCTCAAATAACGTTTTAAGGAGAGGTTGAGATGGAACTGCAAGATAAAAAGGTTTTGATTTTTGGCGGCACGTCCGGCATCGGCCTGGCAACAACCCTGTTGCTGCAGCAGGCGGGTGCGCACGTGGTGGCAATCAGTCGTGACCCTGCGAAGGCTGGCGAACTGCCCGGGGTGGCATTGCGGGCCTGTGATGTACGTGACCGTGATGCGTTGTCACAGTTATTTGCGGAAGAAGCGCCATTTGACGTGCTGATCAGTGCCGCGACAGGCGGTGAGCGGGCAAATGGTCCGTTTCTGCAGATGGATCTGGATGGCTACCAGGGGTCGTTTGATAAATTATGGGGGTATACCAACTGTGTCCGTCTGGGCGCCCAACATCTCAGCGAACGGGGCAATATCGTGCTGGTCAGTGGCTCACCGGCGCGTCGCGCAAAACCTGGTCAGGCAGCCATTGCGTCGGTTGGCGGAGCGGTTGAACAGTTTGTTCGTGCGGTAGCCGCCGAGCTTGCGCCGCGACGCATAAACATTGTTTCTCCCGGCGTCATCGCAACACCCATGTTTGGTCCGGATAGCGAAGCCCGCGAGGGTATGTTGCAGGGCGCCACAGCCAAAAACCTGATTCCCCGTCCAGGTACGCCTGAAGAGGTCGCCCAGGGTATTCTGTTTGTGGTGCAGAATGATTTTGTCACCGGCACAACCGTTGATGTGGACGGCGGCTGGCTCTTAAGTTAACTGGCGCTGACGTTAAAAAGAGAGACCGTACCCGGTGAGTTGATAACCTATCAGGATAAATCCGCACGTCATCAGCGCGCCGTTGGCTACAATAGCCTGAGAGTCGAAGCGGGCGCTCGCCCGCCACAGATTCATTAACGCAACGATGCCGACTAAGGCGGTCAGCTGGCCAGCTTCCACACCAAGGTTGAAGGCCAGCAGATTACCGAGTAAACCCTCTTCAGAAAGCGTCAGCGCCTGTAGTTTTGTAGCAAGGCCAAAGCCGTGAAACAGGCCAAACACCCATACCGCCACTTTGGTGTTGATGCGCCAGCCCAGTTTGTCGAAACCGCCGAGGTTTTCGAATGCTTTATAGACCACAGATAGGCCAATTATGGCATCGATCAGATAGGCGTTTGCCGGTATTTCGAACCAGACACCGGCAATCAGCGTCAGGCTGTGCCCAATGGCAAACAAGGTCACATAAACCGTAATCTCGCGTATTTTATAGAGAAAAAAGATTACCCCGGCGAGAAACAGGAGGTGGTCGTAGCCTGTCACCATGTGTTTTGCGCCGAGATAGAAGTAGGGCCAGAACTGGAACCCCTGTTGACTCTGCAGAAAAATGGCATCGCCGTCGGCGACACCATGTGCATGTGCCCATCCGGTCACGACTGTAAGCAGCGTGACCAGCAGGCAGCTGAAGCCTGTCCGAAACGAAACAGGAAACTGCTGTTCGAAGGCCTGCCGCAGCCCGGAGTCAGAACTCCGTCGATGCTGCGGCAGATCCAGAAAGCGCAGTGGCTGCAACTCAGCTTTGCAGGCTGGCGAATGTTTTACCTTCGCTGACCAGCTTTTCGAGCAGTGGAGCAGGTTGCCAGATGTCGCCACCATATTCGCTCTGGAAATTTTTGATATCCGCCAGGATATTTTCCAGACCTATCTGGTCTGCCCAGAACATTGGGCCGCCGGTCACTTCTGGAAAGCCGTAGCCATTGATATAAACAATATCGATGTCACATGGGCGTATCGCGATGCCGTCTTCGAGTATTCGAGCGCCTTCGTTGATCAGCGGATAAAGGCAACGTTTCAACACCTCTTCATCTGAAATTTCACGACGGGTGATGCCTAACTCTGCAGACGTTTCTTCAACGATGGCGACAACCTCCGGGTCCGGGGTGCCTGCGCGACTGCCTTCTGGATAGATGTAGAAGCCTCTGTTGGTCTTCTGGCCAAACCGTTCCAGTTCACACAGCTTGTCAGCCACCCGCGCAGTGATAGGCACATCCTCAGGCTTCACACCGCCCAGTTTTCGTGCGCGCCAACCAAGGTCGAGCCCGACAAGGTCGTTCATCTGGAAGGGCCCCATGGGCATACCAAAGCCCAGGATGACGTTATCAACCTGATAGGGTGTAGCACCCTGAAGGATGATTTCACCTGCTTGACGGGTGTAGCCAGCCAGCATTCGATTGCCGATAAAACCTGGTGCATTGCCGGACAGAACCGCGACTTTATTCAGTCGTTTGCCCAGCTTCATGGAGGTGGCTATGGTTTCTTTACTGGTCGCTTCACCACGTACTACTTCCAACAAACGCATGACGTTAGCCGGACTGAAGAAATGCAGTCCGATAACCGCTTCAGGGCGCGTAGTAGCGTTGGCCATCTTGTCAATATCAAGACCGGAGGTATTACTGGCGAGGATGGCGCCTGGTTTAGCCACGGCTTCCATTTTTTTGAAAGTGTCTACTTTCACATCGATGTTTTCGTAAATCGCTTCGATGATGACGTCAGCCTGAGCGAGCCCGGAGTATTCGGTAGTACCAGTCAGAATGCCCATGCGCTGATCTACTTCATCAGAGGTCATGCGGCCGCGCTGTACCTGGATATCGTAATTCCGCTTGATCACGCCAATACCGCGATCCAAAGCTTCCTGATCAACTTCCAGCACCGTGACGGGGATACCGACGTTCAGGAAAGACATGGTGATACCGCCACCCATGGTGCCGCAACCGATGACGCCGGCCTGGTTGATTTCCTGGGTAGGCGTGTCTTTGGGTACATCCGGTATTTTTGCAACTTCGCGTTCTGCAAAAAACATGTGGATAAGTGCTTCGCGTTGAGGGTGTTTTAAACACTTCGCAAAACATTCAGCTTCAACTTTCATGCCGGCGTCAAAATCGCCCAGATTAACCGCCGCCTCGACACACTGAATAATCATTTCAGGTGCAAAACGTTTGCGCATTCTGCGCGCTGATGTTTTGCGTGCGTTGTCGAACAGCTCAGCGTTGTCGCGATCGGCTACCAGCAATTCTGATTCATCACGTATTCTGCGGATGGGACTGCCTTTAGCGATAATATCCTGGGCAAAAGCGATACCTGCGTCGACGATGTCGCCGTCAGCCACACTGTCTGCAATGCCGAGTTCTTTCGCCGCGGGGCCGGGGATGGGATCGCCGGAAAGAATAAAGTTGAGGGCTTTTTCCGCGCCGATGAGGCGGGGTAGGCGTTGTGTGCCGCCAGCGCCAGGTAACAGACCCAGCTTCACCTCAGGTAGACCAACCGGTGCCGTAGGGGCGATGACGCGGTAATGGCAACACAATGCAACTTCAAGACCGCCGCCAAAGGCAGTTCCGTTGATTGCAGCAACAATGGGCTTGGTGCTGTTGTCCATGCTTGCAAGACAATCGTGCAGGCTGGGACCCTGTGCAGCGCCGCCAAATTCGGAAATGTCTGCCCCAGCGATGAAAGCGCGGCCTGCGCCGGTGAGCACAATCGCCTCTACGCTGTCGTCTGCCAGAGCCTTGGCGATACCATCGGACAGTCCCTGCCGCACGCCTGAGGACAGCGGGTTAACCGGTGGGTTGTCAATGGTCAGAAGCGCAATGTTGCCGCGCTGTTCGTAGTGCACAGTACCTTTCATAGTCCCTCTCAACTGGGTTTAAAAATTTGGGGCGCCAGTTTGCCGCAAGTCGCGTTAGAAGGGTAGGTGCAGACAATTGCCGCGCGGTAGTTTCAATGTCCATTGTCAGTTCAGCTGTGCTTTTTAATTCGCACGCCAAGAGGTATTCTAGCGGGCTGATGAGGGCAGGATGGCTATCTCGAGTGGGCGCATAAGACCCAACCTTAGCTTCAGCATTAAGAGATATTCCGCCCCGCACAAATTTACAACCAAAGGAACGAAAAACGTGGAAAACGCATTAAAATTCTACATCAATGGTCAGTGGGTTGAGCCTTCAACCACTGACACGCTTGATGTCATCAATCCAGCAACGGAACAGTCCATTGGTAAGATAGCCATGGGTGGCGAAGCAGACGTCAATGCTGCAGTTGCTGCCGCAAAAGCTGCTTTTGAAACTTATTCGCAGACAACCAAAGAAGAGCGCATCGCGCTGCTGGAAGCGATTATCGCCAAATACGCTGAACGTATGGGTGATGTGGCAACCGCCATCAGCCAGGAAATGGGTGCACCGTTAGGACTGGCTAATGCAGCTCAGGCGCCTTCGGCACTTGGACACTTCATGACGACACTGGAAGTGTTAAAAAACTTTGAGTTCGAAGAAGATATCGGTACATCTCACGTAATTCGCGAACCCGCTGGTGTCTGTGGTTTGATCACACCCTGGAACTGGCCGCTCAATCAGATTGCGTGCAAGGTTGCACCTGCACTGGCTGCTGGCTGCACCATGGTGCTGAAGCCTTCGGAAGTTGCCCCTATGAACGCCATTGTGTTCGCTGAAATTCTGCATGATGCCGGCGTACCACCGGGTGTATTCAACCTCATCAACGGTGATGGACCAAATGTCGGCGCGCCGCTGTCGTCGCATCCGGATGTCGACATGATGTCCTTCACCGGTTCTACCCGCGCGGGCGTTGAAGTGGCTAAAAATGCTGCGCCAACCGTCAAGCGTGTGGCTCAGGAACTGGGTGGAAAGTCAGCCAACATCATTCTTGATGACGCTGATTTCACGAAGTCTATCTCTCGTGACGTGTTTGGCATGTGCATGAACTCAGGTCAGTCCTGTAATGCACCTACTCGTATGCTGGTACCCAATGCCCGCATGGATGAAGCTGCCGCCATTGCCAAAGCTGCTGCTGAGCAGGTCAAGGTAGGCGATCCCACAGCGGAAGGCACCACCATTGGTCCGGTTGTGTCTGAAGTCCAATTCAACAAAATCCAGAATCTGATCCAGAAGGGTATAGATGAAGGCGCCAAACTCGAAATTGGCGGTACCGGTCGTCCTGACGGTTTGAACGTAGGCTATTACATCAAGCCCACGGTTTTCTCTCATGTCACCAACGATATGACCATTGCCCAGGAAGAAATTTTCGGGCCGGTATTGTCATTGATTGGCTACGAAGATGAAGAAGATGCGGTGCGTATTGCCAACGACACGCTTTACGGCCTGAGTGGTTATATTTCATCCAGCGACCCGGAGCGTGCCAAGCGCGTAGCTCGTCGGATCCGCACGGGTAACGTTCACCTCAACGGTGCGCCGGTTGACAATAACGCGCCTTTTGGCGGCTACAAGCAGTCTGGTAATGGTCGTGAATGGGGCCTGCATGGTTTTGAAGAGTTCCTCGAAACCAAAGCAATCATGGGCTATAACGCCGCGGGATAAAACGCGTCTCTTGGACGAAAGAACAGAGGGCCTATGTGGCCCTCTTTTTTTGCCTTCAACTCACATCTGAGGAGGATCCATGCAGCCACTTGAGGGTATTAAAGTGGTCTCTATCGAGCAGGCTGTAGCGGCACCTTTGTGCAGCAAGCGACTGCTGCTGGCGGGTGCTGAAGTGTTCAAAGTTGAGCGCCCGGAAGGCGATTTTGCGCGTTTCTACGATACCGCAGTAGCCGGTGAAAGCACTTATTTTGTCTGGCTGAACGGCGGTAAAAAGTCTGTGGTTTTCGACCTGCGCGAACCGGACCAGCTAGATCTGCTGCAAGAACTCATCAGCCGCAGTGACGTGCTGGTGCAGAATTTGAAACCTGGCGCCCTCGACAAACTTGGCTTGGGGTTGGAAAAGCTGCATGAGTGCTATCCGCATCTGATTTCAGTTTCGATCACGGGCTTTCATCCGGACGGACCTGGCGCGCAGCGCAAAGCTTATGATCTGCTGATGCAGGCTGAAGCCGGGCTTGCATCCATTACCGGCTCTCCCGACGCACCTGGGCGGGTCGGCGTTTCAGTGGTCGACATCGCAACCGGTATGTTTGCTTACGAAGCGGTTTTAGAAGCTGTGCTTGTGCGGCGTTCCAGCGGCACTGGCGAACGCATCAACGTGTCCCTTTTTGATGCGGTTGCGCAGTACATGAGCGTGCCTTACCTGTTAACCCGATATGGCTCAGGACCACCTGGGCGGGTCGGCCTGGCTCATCCGGGGATCTGCCCTTATGGCGTCTTCGAAAGCGCCGATCACACAGCCTTTGTCATGTCTGTACAGAACGAAGCAGAATGGCAACGTCTGTGTCAGCTGGACACAACACTGCAGCCGCTGGCGCAAGATGACCGATGCCTGGACAACGAAACCCGCGTGGCCCACCGTGTTTTTGTGGATGCAGCTTTGCAGGTGTACTTTGCCAGCTGTGCCTATGAGGACCTTGCGGTAAAGCTTGATGCAGCTGACGTGGCTTTTGCGCCGGTGAACAGTGTGTCAGCGTTTGCCGAACATGCGGATCTGCGCACCATTAATGTTGATGTGCATGGTATAAACATCGAACTGCCTGTGGTTCCGGGGCGTGCGGCTAACCAGGAGGTCGATAATCATCTGAAAATTCCAAAAACAGGGGCGCATACCCAGAGCGTTCTGGAATGGTTGCGCGAAAAATAGTTATCTTTTGCCTGCAACCTTTCCTGCCAGCTAGGGCTCTTATCAGAGACACACACAATTAGAGAATCTCATGGAAGAAGCTATTGTCCCCGTAGTACTGTTTTTGATGATCTTTGGCATTGTCGCAATCGTCTCGTTCTATCGGTTTCGCAATCGTCAGGAACTGCAGATGACGATTAGAGCCACGCTGGATTCGGGTCAAGCCCTATCCAGTGAACTGTTGGAACAACTAACGGCAGCGCTGCAGCCACAGAGCAATGACATTCGGCGTGGCGTTATTTTGCTGGCGTTTGGATTGGCGTTTATCTGCCTTGCCTTTCTTATTGGTGACGAAGATGCCTTCGGGCCGATGCTGGGTTTCGCGACTTTTCCGATTTTCACGGGTTGCGCCTACCTGCTGATGGGCTATCTCAGGCAAAAAAGCGATCAATGATTTTGGCTTTTCCCGCTCGCGTAAACCTGCCGGAAGCTGACACTGCAGACGCAGAATTAGTTCTGCGTTCGCGGCAAGGTACCCGCGCGGAGCGCCACACGGCTTACACCGTTCTGGTGACGCGCTACCAGGGATTTGTCCGTTCGATGTTGCTGGGTTTGACCCGCCAGCCAGCCCTGGCTGATGATCTTACCCAGGATACATTTCTGACGGCCTGGCAGAAGCTGAACACCCTCACGGCACCGGAGAAATTTGGCGGTTGGTTGAAACAGCTGGCTTACCGTCACTTTCTACACAGCTATCGGCGTCAACAGACTGAGCAGAAACACCTGCCTGAAGCGGTTGATCCTGTTGTAGAGGCTGAACATCCAGCGGATGTTGATGCTGAACTCAATGAGCTCCTGGCGTTGTGTAACCCAATCGAGCGCGAAATTATGGTGCTGTATTATGGCTTTGAGTTTACCCACAAAGAGATTGCGGACAGCCGCGGCATAGCCGTAGGCACTGTAAAATCTCATGTCCATCGAGCGAAACAGAAGATGCAGAAACAACTTGAAGAGATACAAATACAAGCCAGTCAAGGGGAGGGTAAAACATATGGATAACAAAGAGTTAGATAGTATTCTGGAAAATAAATTTCAATCTCTACGGCGACCCGAAGGCGAAGTTAATCTGGTGCCGGATATTATGGCGCAGGTTGCCACGCTACCGCAGGTTGATCCTGAACCAAGTCCGGTTGCACCACGTATTGGTCTGAACTGGATATTGTTGCTCGCTGTGCTCGTCGGAGGCGCTATTTTTGTGCTGTCTTTACAGGCCTTACCTCTGGAGCGTTTGACTGAACTGCTACCAGCAAGTCTCCTGGGCGGTTACACATCTGTTGCTACAGCGTTAATTGTGCCCATCGTGGCAGCCGCTGGATTAATGCCTGTCGCGTGGTTGATGCTCGAAGACTAGTCCACGCTGAGCTTACTTTCGCCAGTGTCCCCAAAGTTGTTTATGATCACAGGTCCGGGCAGCGCTGCTGTTTTGCCTGACGTGATATGCGGTATCGAAACACCGATGTCTTAAACAGCTGACTGTATCGCCTTTCGAGAGAGTGAAACCTATGACTTATGACGCGAATAATATATTTGCCAAAATTCTGCGTGGCGAGGCGCCGGCCTTTAAAGTTTACGAGGATGAATACTCGCTGGCGTTTATGGACGTCATGCCTCAGGTTGACGGACACACTCTGGTTATACCGAAATGTGAAGCGAAGGACTTGTCCGACGCAGATCCAGTTGTGCTGGCGAAAACCATCCAAAGCGTACAGCTGGTCGCAGCGGCAGTGAAAGAAGCATTCTCTGCACCAGGCATCATGCTCGCACAGTTAAACGGCGCTGCGGCGGGACAAACAGTATTTCATCTGCACTTTCACATTATGCCAAGACATGATGGCCTGGCCCTGGGCATGCATGCCAGGGAAATGCAGGATTTTGCTATCCTGGAAGCACATGCTGAACAGATCCGCAAATGCCTCGCTGCTCATGACTGACGGTCAGGCCGATCAGGACGCAAGCAGCCTGGATGCCGGTTACCTGTCGGAAGACAAGCAGGAATGGCTGGAATCCCTGGAGTCTATTCACGCGGAGTTTGGTGACGCAGGCGTACGTGAGATCTTACGGAGCCTGCAGGATCACGCTCTACGCTTAAATGTGCCGTTAGGTGAGGCGACGCTGAATACGCCTTATGTCAACACTATAGCCGTTGAAGACGAGCCTGCTTATCCCGGCGACCTGGCGCTGGAAGCCAGGATCGAAAAAATTATTCGCTGGAACGCCATGGCGATGGTCCTGCGCGCCCAGGATGCGGGGGTTGGCGTGGGTGGTCACATCGCTACTTACGCCTCGTGTGCCACCATGCTGGAAGTTGGGTTTAATCACTTTTTCCAAGGTTTCGATGAAAATAATGATCCGGATATGGTGCTACCTCAGCCTCATGCGGCTCCTGGTATTTATGCGCGAGCCTGGTTAGAAGGACGATTAACAACCGCACAGTTAGAAAACTATCGACGTGAATTAGGTGCTGGTGGCGGTCTTTCTTCTTATCCGCACCCCCGCAGCATGCCTGATTTCTGGGAGATGCCAAATGCGTCCATGGGTTTGTCAACACCAGCGGCCATCTACGAAGCGCGGTTTGCCAAGTACCTGGAAAACCGTGGCCTCAAGCCGAAAAGTAACCGCAAAATCTGGTGTTTTATTGGTGATGGGGAATCAGACGAGCCGGAAGTGATGGGCACCATCAACATTGCCGCCCGGGAAAAACTGGATAACCTTATCCTGGTTATAAATTGCAATCTCCAGCGACTTGACGGTCCTGTTAGGGGAAATGGGAAAATTATCCAGGAACTGGAACGCATGTTCCGCGGCGCGGACTGGAATGTGTTGAAGGTGATATGGGGAAGCGGGTGGGACCCGCTGCTTGCGCGAGATAAAAATGGCGTTTTGCGCAAACGTATGGACCAGTGCCTTGATGGCGACTATCAAATGTACTCTGTGTTGCCTGGAAATGTTCAGCGAGAGCACTGGGTTGAAGGCAATCCAGAACTTAAACGCATGATGGACACGCTCACCGATGCGGAGCTGAAAGAAATTAAACGCGGCGGACAGGATCCAAAAAAAATCTACGCCGCGTTTGATGCCGCAGCCCAGGCTCGAGGCAAGCCGACGGTCATTCTGGTTAAAACAGTGAAAGGTGACGGTATCGGCGCCCAGGGCAAGAACACCGCCCATCAGTACAAAAACATGGGGCCCGAAGAACGGGTCAAAGTTGCGCGGGAGTTGGGCATTCCGCTGGATGATGAACAGGCACGTCAAGCTGCATTCTATAAACCGGAAGCGGACAGCGAAGAAATGCTGTATCTGCAGGCCCGGCGAAAAGCGCTGTTCGGCTCAGTACCCAGGCGTCGTCAGGTGAGTCCATCATTGCCTGCGCCTGAGCGCACAGTTTTAAAAGAACTGCTCAAAGGCAGCGGCGAGCGTAGTGTCTCGACGACAATGAGTATGGTGCGCCTGCTGGGAACGCTCCTGCGGGATAAAACCTTAGGCAAATATGTGGTGCCCATAGTGCCTGACGAAGCCCGCACATTTGGTATGGACGGGCTGTTTAAAATAGCCGGTATATATGCACCTGAAGGCCAGAAATACAAACCGGTAGATGCAGACTCACTGCTGCCATATCGCGAAGCATCGGACGGTCAGATTCTGCAGGAAGGCATCTGTGAAACCGGCGCCATGGCGTCGTTCATGGCTGCAGGCAGCGCCTATGCGGTGCATGGTTTGCCGATGATCCCATTTTATATCTTTTATTCCATGTTCGGTTTCCAGAGAGTTGGTGACATGGTCTGGAGTTGCGGTGACATGATGTGCCGCGGCTTTCTGCTTGGCGGCACGGCGGGGCGTACAACCCTGAACGGCGAAGGTCTCCAACATGAAGATGGACACAGCCATGTGCTTGCCAGCACCATTCCTAATCTGATCAGCTACGATCCAGCTTTCGGCTACGAGGTTGCAATTATCGTCCGCGAAGGTCTGCGGCGCATGTTCGAGGAGCAGGAAGACGTCTTCTATTACCTGACGCTGTACAACGAAAACTATCTGATGCCCGGGATAGATGACGTATGCAACACCTCCGGTCTGAGCGAAAGTGCCATTGAAACCGGTGTGCTCCAGGGTGCCTATCGATTCGCCCACGCAGAGGTGGATCCGGATGCGCCCTGGGTGAATATACTTGCCAGTGGCAGTATTTTTCAGCAGGCATTGGACGCGCAGACATTGCTGACGGAGATGGGTTTCAATGTTGCGCTGTACAGTGTGACCAGCTTTATTGAGCTTGAGCGCGAGGCGCAGAGTTGCGCGCGTTACAACAGGCTGCATCCGCTGGATGAACAAAGAACCTCACACGTCGAGGCTTTGTTTGCTCAGGCTCCAGGTGTGTTTGTTGCGGTGACCGATTATATGAAAAGCCTTGCTGCTGGCATTGCACCCTGGTTGCCAGGTGAGCTTGAGGTGTTAGGTACCGATGGATACGGACTGTCGGAATCCCGGCCTGCATTGCGGCAACACTTTGAAGTAGATGGCCAGCATGTTTGTGCTGCGGCGCTGACGGGCTTGTATCGGAACAAATTAATTGATGGGCAGGTGTTGAACAGACATCTGCAGAGTTTGAAGATCAACGCGGATCGTCCTGATCCGCGTGATCGCTAAACATTTGTGATAAGAAAACTTGAGGGGAAACAATGAAAGATTTCAAAGATAAAATCGCTGTAGTCACCGGTGGCGGTACTGGCATGGGGCGTGAGCTGGTCTGTCAGCTGATTGCTGAGGGTGCACATGTGGCCATGTGTGACGTATCTGAAGAGAATATGGCAGAAACCGCCAAACTGGCTAACCCCAAACCCGGTCAGCGACTCACCAGCCATCTGTGTGATGTCAGTTCAGAGCAACAGATGCTCAAATTTCGCGACGAGGTTGTAGAACAGCACAAATGCGACCACATCAATCTTTTATTCAATAATGCGGGTATTGGTGGAGGTGGTGAGTTTGTGACCGGCGATCGGGCACTGTGGGAAAGAACCTTTGGGGTTTGCTGGTATGGGGTTTATTACGGCGCGCGTGCTTTCATGGACCTGCTGGTGGCCAGCGATGAAGGTCATATAGTAAATACCAGTTCGGTGAACGGTTTCTGGGCGAGTATTGGCCCAACGGTTTCACATACTTCTTATGCTGCTGCCAAGTTTGCGGTCAAAGGCTTCACCGAAGCGTTGATTACAGACCTGCGCCTTAACGCCCCACATGTGCATGCCTCGGTTGTTATGCCTGGCCATATCGGCACCTCTATTGCGCTCAACTCAGGCAAAGTACTGGGCACCGGCGGCGCGCTGGAGATGTCGGCGGAAGAAGTCGGGAAAATACGTGTACGACTGTCTGAAGCGGGTTTACCTGTAGACAACGTGCCTGATGACCATATTCGAGAAATGATGCATCAACGGGCGCTGGATTTTCGTGACAAGGCGCCAACAACAGCGGCGCAAGCCTCCACTATTATTCTTGATGGCGTGAAAGAGAACAAATGGCGAATTCTTGTGGGTGAAGATGCAAAAGTCCTGGACCGGCTGGTGCGGGAAAACCCGGAAGAGGCATACGAAGACACATTCATTGGCAAAGTGCAGGCAGCGGGTGGTTTTGGGGGCCTGCAACCGGCAGCTAATGATGCGGACTAGTTCTGCGGAACACGGATTCTTTATGGGATTAATAACATGAGTCGTAGTGAACGTGATGCCGCCATAGTTGGTGTGTACGAATTTCCCAGTCGCGACGTTGACGGCGAAATGAGCGCGCTGCAGATTAAGGCGGCCTGTGCCGCTGCTGCGCTTCATGACGCGGGATTGAACTGGTCGGACGTTGACGCACTTTATGATGCCTCGGAAGCGGCGCCGATGAGTGGTTTGATGATTGCCGAGTACTTCGGTTTATCGCCTTCGGTAATTGACACAACGGCGGTTGGAGGCAGCGCTTTCGAGTTTCAGGCAGCACATGCGCGTATGGCTATCCAGGCCGGTAAGTGTAAGGTGGCGCTGCTGACATATGGTTCCACCGCGCACAGCAATGCTACCGCCATAGGCGTAGGCGGGCGCGGTTTTGGCGGTTTAACACCTGCAGAGAACATGGAAGGCTTTGCCGGTCAGACTCTGGTTGCCAACTATGCCATGGTCGCCCGCCGACACATGCACCTGTATGGCACAACCTCGGAACAACTCGCTGAGATATCAACCGCAACCCGTTATCACGCGATGCAAAATCCCCAAGCCGTGCAGGCCATGCAGGATCTTGAATTCATTGATATACGCGAAACGACAATTGACGATGTGGTTAACTCGCGAATGATTGCTGATCCGCTGCATTTGCTGGACTGCTGCATGATTTCCGATGGCGGCGGGGCGGTGGTTATCGCCAGCGCTGATGTCGCACGTCAGTGTGCGCAGAAACCGGTGTGGATTATTGGCAGCGGTGAAGCGACCAGGTACCCAACGAGTGGCGGTGATATCACAACTTCGGCAGGCGCGCAGTCTGCGCCGATTGCTTTTGCCGAAGCAGGCATCACGCCGGCAGAGGTTGACGTCGCCATGATCTACGACTCCTTCAGCATTACGGTTCTGGCCCTCCTGGAAGATTTAGGTTTCTGCGCAAAAGGAGAGGGCGGTGCATATGTTGCAGGTGGTCGTTTACGTTTTGATCAACCTGGCGGACCCGCGCTGAATACAGACGGCGGCGGCCTCTCTTCGAATCACCCTGGCATGCGGGGCATCTTCCTGCTGATTGAAGCTGCGCGGCAACTGCGCGGACAATCTACCGCTCAGGTGGCTGGTGCTCAACTTGCGGTTGCACACGGCAACGGTGGAATGCTCGGTTCACGGCACTCTGCCGGTACAATAATTCTCGGAGGTGATTGATCATGGTGGCTAAGAACACAGACAATCTGCCTGAAATAACCAGGCCACTACCGTCGCTGAACGAGCCGGATACTGCAGTTTTCTGGCGGGCAACAAAGAATCAGTCTTTCAGGTTTCAACAGTGTGAAAACTGCAACACCATTGTATGGCATCCGCGCGCGCACTGTTCAGGGTGCACAAACGGCAAGCTTGAGTGGCGGGAGTCAGCAGGCGAAGGTGAGGTGTATACCTATAGTGTTGTCAGACAGAGTTATCACCCTTTCTTTCGTAACAAAGTCCCCTATGCTGTCGTTTACGTTGACCTGGATGAAGGTCCTCGTCTGCTCACCAATATGGTAGGTGTCGAAGACCCTCTACAGGACATAAAGATAGGTATGCGGGTTAAACTCAGCTGGGAAATCCATCCGGAACTGAGCATCCCGTTGGTTGAGCCGGTGAAAGATTAACTCACCGGTATCAGCACTTTTGCGGTACCAAACACCCGGTTTTCACCGGCTTCGTTGGTCACCGTAAGATCGATCTCTACTTCGCCGGTGTCTTCATCAAGATCTGTAACGACTCCGTTGATACTGTATTGTTCATCGACAATACACGGCGCTCTGAAAACTGTATCAACCAGTTTGACTTCAGCGGATGGTGCCCAGTGATGGATCATCGCGCTTAAAAAACCCTGGCTCATGATGCCTGGGACCAATGCGCCAGGCAGGCCCTGCTCCTTAGCAGCGGCATGATCAGTAAAGCGCGGGCTGTCCCAGCCTGCTGCCACAACAAACCGTTTTACGTTTGCAAGGCTGGTATCTGGAGAAACAGACGGCAATTCAACGCCGAACTCTACGTCGGCAATCGTGTTAACAGTCATGACTGTGGCTTCTCCCGGATCACTATGCTGGTATCTGCTGAACCCAGAAGGTTATTGTCAGGGTCGGTGAACTCCATGCGGTTGACGAAAAAAACCATCCGCCCGCTGCGTCCACTTTTTGTATAAATATCGTGCATATGGGTGCGCGCGGTAATCGGTATGCCTGGTCGCATAGGCTTGTCCGGCGCGACTGCTTTGCCGGCATCCATACCTAGACCTTTAAACGTAGGGAAACCGTCAGGATATCGTTTACGTTGCTGAAAACTGGATGCAATGGTTGGCGGTGCCTGAAAATCCGGATCTTCAGGATTGGTGAACTTTGCAGCGGTTTCACCACAGGCGATGGCGTAGTCCGCAAGCGCCTGGGCTTCAAGAGTAAGCGTGTATTCGTCGAATACAACATTCAGGAACTGCTCTCGCAGGGATTCCACGTCCAGGGGGGCATTGACGTCGGTCATGAGGCTTCCTGTTGTAGTTTGATGGCTTCAAAGCGGCCAGCTTTCAATGCATTGACCAGCTCTTGTTCGTTGTGGATGGTGTCTTCAAATTTTGTGGCGCAGCGGCCAATGTGACTGACGATATGTGCATCACTGCCGCCGATACCTAAATAGTTCTGTTCGGTCGCCATGTCCTGGGCGACCTGATCTTCTGCGCCGCGTGAGCCGCCGTTGTAGACTTCCACTATATTGACACCAGCAGGCACACCATGCTCTTCAAGGTGGGCGGCCATACCGACACGTTTACGACCAGGATGGCAGGGCACCGCAACAGCGCCGTGGGCATCACACGCTGCGATCACATCAGCTAACGCCAGGTGGATATTGGTAAAGTCGAACGCCTCCTGCAGTGTCTTGGTGACGCCAAAAACCAGAACGTGGCCGTACTCAGTTTCGACCTCACTGCCTTTTAAAATGGTGATGCCATGTTTGGCTGCCAGATCACTGTAGTCGGACTCGTTATCAAATTGACGGTGCTCGGTGAGCACAAATCCGTCAATCGGGATGTTGCGCGTTTTTATCCACTGGCAATAATTCTGCACTTTGGCTCGGCCATCATCAGACTTAATTGAATGGGCATGTAGATCTAGAATCACTGTGTAGCCGCTCCTGTTTGTTGCCATAGCTGTTTCAGTTGGTTGACCATGTGCTCAGGATCTCCGGAGTTGTCAATCACAGCATCTGCTGCAGCGATACGCTCTTCGTTAGTCAGCTGTGCATCGATCCGGGCTTCAACCGCACTGGGCTCGAAGCCATCTCGGGCGCAAGCCCGGGCGACCGCAATCTCGCGATCAACAACGCATACCCATAACATATCCACCAGATCCTGCCAGCCCGCTTCGATCAAGACAGCCGCTTCCAGAACAATGGGTTGCTGGGGCTGTTTCTGCTGTACCTGGCTGATCTCTTGGGCAGCCATGCTTCTGATCGCCGGCCAGACAATATCTGTGAGCGCCTTAAGTCTGTCAGCCTGGCCGAAGACTTTGCCGCCGAGAACTCGGCGATCGATCTCACCGTCTTCACCGACGGTGTCCTGCCCGAAGGTGGCGACGACCTGGTCAAACGCCCGGGTACCCGCAAGATAAGCGCGGTGGCCCAATTTATCTGCATCTATGACGTGTGCACCCCAGTCGCCCAGGGTCTGCGCAGCGGTAGATTTGCCTGACGCGATACCGCCGGTTATTCCTATGATCAATGTTTATCCGTTATGTCGAAGGCAGCCGCCAATATTAACAGAGTGGAGGGCTGAGTTTCAGCCCAATGCGCATGTCGATATCGGTAGCGGGACGAAGCGGGTAATATATGCGCCGTCTTCAATCGTGGGTTCCGTCGAGCATGCCTCGTCAGCCCGGTGTCCACTGCAGCCGGCCACAAATTTATGCCCACACAATTATCGTC